TACCAGCACTTTTCTTACATGAAAGTCCGTGGAGCCCAAACTTGTCGACGCTGCTACCACAGGGGCATTGATGGGGCTGATAAATCGCCGCTCCTAGTCGGATTCCTACGGCGACGCGCAAGCTTTCCCCATCAAGTAGTTTGCCGAGATTACTTGACGATAAAGCGTGTAACCAGTGACTAGATTCCTTAGTCAAAACAGCTAGAAGGCGTGCCTTATCTTGGTCACTATGGAAATTATGAAACAAATTTTTAATTATATTTAATTATAATATATATGGGCCATTTTGTTCGATATCTTGTTGCCATCTTGCAGGTGGTGACATAATCCCGTTGCTGAAGAAATCTTGGGATTTTTGATCAAAAAAATGCGACAAGTAATTTTCACAGACCGGACCTCTTGATGTTAACCGAACACTACCCAAAGAATTCTGAAGAGACCGAAACAGGTGAATATCTGAGCGTTCAAGATGAGGACTACTCGTATATGTTGGATGCATTAACACTTCCCAACCAAGCTCATTTAATTTTTGCTGAGTGGCCAAAGGTGTGTAATCTGGTGGTATTATGATGAAATACCACTCCTTTTCTGTTTATCAATTCCGGCCGATTTTCCTCAATTTCTTGCTTGAGTCTCATTAGGTGTTGGCAGTAGAGATCCGGATCGACGGTTTTGCCCGGCGATAAAAGCTCATAATAAACGATGCCTTTCCAATCCCATCACACACACAGCATCGCCTTATTGCGTGTTAATCCGGGTTTCGCTAAAGTCTGTGAAGCTTGACTAACCTTTGACCATGATATTTTTTGCACGTTCTTGTTGTAGGTGATCCACTTTTCAAAAATGGTTCGGTTTCATTACGTTTCAAAAGAGAATCGCAAATGAGTACAGTATTCATTAGATTTCTTTCAGTGAGCTCGTGTGGTACCCAAATATCGAGCTTTTTTGTGTAGCCAGACTTATAAAAAGCACATTGTCAGAAAGATAAATGACTGTTGGACTTATAAATTTTTTTTAAAATCGATTAATTGCTATTATTACATAAAAAATTGTTTTAGTGGCTTTTGGTGTAGATTTATCAAGTTCGCATGAAGGGGTAAACAAGATAATTTTGAAAATATCAATTGTTTATCTCAATCTATTTTTTAATCTCTTCATCTACAATGTGGGAAGCCATGGAATATAAATGGCAGTTTAATTTTGTTTTGTTTAGTTATAGTTAATTTTTTTCGGCCGAGAAATCTCAAAATTAAGGGTGTTTTGAGTAGCCTTGTAATAATTTATTTTACTAAATACACTCCGAGCTCGGCCGCAGTCGTGAGTGGATTACTGCATCGTTATTATTTTTATAATCACAGATTTTAACTACAATATTATGTTTCGCTAAAAGTACGTAGTATTTATATATAAATATACTTATACGTACCGGCAGGCGAAGTATAGGGCGTCCCCCCACTAGATGGATTGACGACCTGGTAACACATGCAGGAAGTCAATGGATGCTGGTGGCTCATGACTGTACTTTGTGGCATTCCTTGGGGGAGGCCTACGTTCCGCAGTGGACTTGTGAAGGGCTGTAATAATGATGATGATGATGACGATAATGATACGTCTTGGACTTTATGATGTGATCTGAAGGTATACTCCGGTATTTGCTACTGGCCTCGACATGTAGAACTAGGTGTGCCGAGTTAGGGCTCGTTTTGTTAGTTATGAATAGACCTTACCTCCGTACTTGATGGATTGACTTGAAGGTGTACTTCGGTGACTGTGCTAGAACTCTTTGACGAATGGAACAACATATTACATTTTTTTTAATTTTTTCACGAATATATGAGCATTTTTACTTGTGCACTTTGAAATTTGACATAAAATTATCGGAAAATTGAAAGTATAGTTGTTCGCGCAAAACACTTTCAAGGATTGACGCGAGAGGGCGCTCGGCGCGGTGCATTCATACCGGTTTGACTTTCGGTCGTGCGAAAAACGCCCAAGGGCAGTCAATCGTCTGTAAGCGGTGCTGACGTGAGCACGCGGTCAATTCTGTTAGGGAACTCGGAATAATTCGGCGCGGCCAGTAAATATACGGTCTATCATTGTGACGCGCATTCCTGCTGGAGAGCTTCCCAGGGACTCATTGTGTTTGACTCAGAATCTGCATAAGTGCATTAGGCAATATTAGCTAGTGCAGCCTCTGTATTCTAGAACTAACTGTTGCGACGCGAAACGGTAGTGACCTTTAATAAACTGTAAACTCCGTGTGCGTTTTGTGTGTTAACCTTATAACCCGCGATAGTTAGTGGCTTCTGTAAGTTAGTAAATCGTACGATAGAGTTAATAATAATAATAATAATAATATAATAATATTCCACAACTATCAAACAACGCCATCTAGTCCCAAGCTAAGCAGAGCTTGTGTTATGGGTACTAGACAACTGATAAATATACTTATATATTTCTAAATACATAAATATTATAGATAAATTACACCCAGACACAGAACAAATGATCGTGCTCATCACACAAACATTTGTCCTGGGTGGGAATCGAACCCACGACCTCCGGCGTAGCAGTCAGGGTCACTAACCACTAGACCAACAGGCCAGTCTTGACTTAATTGACTGTCAACGTGACGAAAGAAGAAAGTGACTGTGGGCAACCTCGGGAGGCCCCCTCAAGTTGGAGCGGTGTCGACGCTCGGGCTGCTGCCGACGGCCAAGGTCTAGGTTCAATCACTATCAGTCACACCCAGATACACACCACATCACCATTCTTTCCCTTGCACTACACAACCACATGCGACCTGACCGACTCCGGAGGGACCAGTCGCCTTGGATAGGTAAGTAAGCTTCATCCAAATTCCTTCCGGTCGACTGGCCGTAGTATAACGCTCCCCCATATATTTTAGTGTAATTAGAGAGATTCCACGTGGCCACATTGAGGCCCGACCTACGTCTGTTCGGGAAGTCTTCAGCTCATGGGCCCCTGAGGATTGGATCCTTTAAGGGAGCAGCCGTAGGCCGTAACAATAGTAATAATTATAAGGTTTTAGTGAAAACTTGTGTGTAATTAAATCATGTTATACGCAATTTTATTAATGCGCTTAAGGCATGCACAAATGGATTGACCAATAGTTTTTGTATTTTACTTTTTATTTTTCTTTTTCTTAATATCCTATATGTACTGATATGTACAAACAGTATAGCCAAAGAGATTTTTCTTCAATTTTATGCAAACAAAATACGAAGAAACTTTTTCCCCGACTATTGTTTTGTGCCGCGGTTAGCAACCTCTCTATTAATAAATCTCTAGCAAGGTCTACATCCAGAAAAGGGTACTGTGCCCTTGGCGGACCCTGTATTTAATCAAATATTTCTTTAGCCAGCAAATAAAGATGTTTTTGGTATGGGACGCCAGCAATGCTGATAAGCAAACCTTTTTGACTACATAGTCATAGAAAGTTTTTGTAACATTCGGCTCATACCTTGCTATAATTTATTATATAACGTACCTTGTTCGTGCCAGAAATACCGCTTGCGTGCAGCACATTGTAATTAAGGATAAAATTACGCAATAAAAATATGAAGCTCTAACGGATTCGATTTCACATTCAACTCGAAAACTGACGATGTTGAAGCAACTAATGCACAATTATTTGACCATTTATAGGGCTGATATTTTTGTAGAATTAAAATTTTTGGTATCGGGATTGGCTTAGGGGTGTATAGAAGCTGGAATTAGTGTGATATTCACTAGGTGATTTATTCAAGTTTGGTTGTACGGAGTAGTTCCATATGAAACCAAGATCATTTAGGGAAAAATTTTGGTGGTTTTGTTTGAAACTGTGACCGTTTAGGGAAATAATTTGTAAATAAAATCAAATCATAATTAAATGATTTTTATTTAAAAGAACAATATTTTTGATACTTTTTATCTTAAAAAATCTTAAATTATTATTCAGTGACTAAGTGTACTATTAATACAAAAATGACTCCCCTGTGTCATAAAACTAACCAAAAATATCTACAAAAAAATCTTCTATGAAAAACTACTACTATTTGTAAGTAACTTTTCATAGAATATATAAATATAAATTGCTTACCTGTATGAAATTTATGCCGTGGTAAACTTGGATCCCGTAATTTTTATATTCTTGTGGTGTTCGAAATATTTTATGAAATCTGTAAGGGTTAGGTAAAAGACCCACCTTGTCTTCTACCTCTGGTACCTCTAACGGCTCTCCGTGCCCTCAGAGGACCCCTATTACGAACTCGACCCCCTCCACTTTGCTGTGTTGACGTTGGTTGAGGGAGAGAATTGCTGCCGCCGTATATGGTGAAAAATGCCACCTAGTAGCTTTGATCTCAATGGTAAGGCGTACTAGGACCCTCACTCGCGACCTGAATCTGGTTAAAGCCAATCTAACTAGTCTCGAACACAGGCGCAAATTAGCCACTGTTTCTCAGTCTGTAAGATCAATAATCTCTGACTCGATGTGCACTGCTGGTGATAGCCGAACGTTCAATATTTTAATATTAGCAAGATAGGGTACACGCGAGGACGCACGTCGCGTCGTTGCAACTTGTCGTGGGAAGCATTTTTTTTTTTGGAATGCTGCTATATCGTTGCAAGTAAATCACATCGATTTGATAACATATTCATTTATAATTAATTTAATTTTCTTAGTGGCTTTTTGATTTAAAATTATTTAAAGTTATAAAAAGTTATAAGTTAAATAAATACAGACGAATATTATGTAAACGCGTCGTTCTCGTCGACGAATAACTCTCCGAGTTATTCGTCGAGTTGTTCGTCCGATAATCTAAACGTGCCATAAAACTCATAAAATAAACTAAAACGTAGTAATGATTAGTACCAATTAGTACCATACTCTTTGATATCAACCTTGTTTATAGGTAACAATGACAACCATATAAACAACATTTGAATACTTTGTTTCTGGATATTTTCATATTTTTATAGCCTTTCGATATATTGTAATGGCTGGTAATTTTAGAAGATTTGACGAAGAGGAGGAAGATGTTTTGGCGCCTAAGGAGCCTCAAGTTACCTCCCAGGATCCCGAAGAACGTAAAGCGGGAAGAGCCTTGCGTGTAAAACGAAGACAAGATGCTCTTAAAAGGTAAAACTAACTATTATTTCAATATTTGTGTAAAAAGAAAAATTTCATAGAAGACTAGTTATTTGAGGAATCCCAGAAGCTTAGATTAATGATAGGCTGTCTGAGCGCGCGATTACCTAGCATTAATCTATGCCCAGAAGTATCAGTAATCAAAAATGAAATTTATGGTGTTGGCACTCGTTTTAATTTGAATGGTTTTGTTTGAATTTTATAATAAAACTCCTTTAAGATCAACTTTTCAATACAAATAAATTAACCATTATTATTTTCAACAAATATTCTTTTTGTTGGTACTAAACAGTAAAATAGGTAATTTTTAGAGATACACCGAAGGTACTCGTTTATTAATGGGTATTATCGGATGTATCGGATAAAATTAATTAATATCGTAGGTATTTACAAATCGTAAATTAGAAATAATATATCGTATGCCACATTATGAAGGCAAAAAGTGCTTATTAAATGGCGTTGAACAGATGATGATGATGACGAGGAAACGAAAATGATGCTGAAAAGAATATAAAAAAGCTTAAAATTTTGTATTAATAACACACACACACACACACACACACACACACACACACACACACACACACACACACACACACACACAAATACGCACGCGCGCGCGCGCGCGCTCGCACACACGATCGCATGCACGCACGCATGCACGTACACATGCACGCATGCACGCACCCACGCACGCACGCACGCACGGACGCACGGACGCATACGCGCATGCGCGCACACGCCCACGCACGCGCGCATGCACGCAGGCACGCTAGCAGGCACGCACGCACGCACACACGTACGCACGTACGGACGCACGCACACACACACGCGCATGCACGCTTGTACGCAGCCACGCATGCACACGTGCATACGCGCACACACGCACTTGCACACACGTGCACACGCGCGCACAGACACGCACAAACATACACACACACACACACACACACACACACACACACACACACACACACACACGATTATTATATAAATTAGTAAAAAAGTTTTAGTTTTAGTTAAGTTTTATGTAATACATAAATACGTGAATTACTCGTATTAAATTTTAAATTCTTGATAAATGTTAAGCACCAGGGTATGAGCGAAACACCCCAACACGAGTATATTGAATAATTCTCTGAAGATGTTTCACCACTAATTTATGGAAAATTTCAGTGAGAAATAAATGTATTTGTGTATTTTTTTTAACGTTAATTTTAAAGTCTGCACTAACTAACACGTGGGAAAAAGTCGTGGCGCCATCATTGAATGATTGTGGTATCCTTTGTCAGAGCCGAACAGCCTACGGAAGAAATAAGCACTGAGGACGAACCCGGTCCGATTGAACAAGCAACAGCAGCCGCAGCAGAAGAACTTCAGCGCTTAGCATTAGACGGCGCTGCTAAAGTCACAAATGTAAAGGTTACGACAGACGAGCGGGAAGTTGTTCGCCGTGAATTGTTTTCAGAAAAGTTGAAAAGTATGTGCGTGTGTCAATTTTGTAAAATATAAACACAAAAATGTAATTATAGCTTAGTAAGTTCCGGCGTTTGCAAGTAATCTGCATTCACTATATTAGACCATTGCATACCGAACAAGGCACAAATAAAATAACCCGTTATATAAATAATTATTATTTTGAGTTGTAATTGAGACTTATACTTACTTTTCTGATTTTTCCAATATTTAGTGTAATAACATCCTTTCTAACTGATGGTAAATGGCGGCTACAGTTCGTGTACATTCGTAGCTAACACCGCAATTGTGGGATGTTCTGCTATTTTGCGAAAGAAATACGTGGATGAACTTTTGGCAGCCAGTTAGGCAGCGGCAGCAAAAATGTTCAAAAATATATATCTTAGTAGTACCTAGTTTATTTTAAAGAAGGCGAAGGTCAGCGTCCCAGTTATGGGCCGGTGGGTAAAGCAAGCGTAATGCAAGTGATATTGGCGAGAACAATATGCCTGTGCAAAATTACAAGTGTCTGAACCTAAGAATTAAGAGGAAACACATAGATTTACGAAAGTGCTATTAAGCAAGATTCAAGGAGTATATTAACGTATACGTGGTAGAGCCATGCTGCAGCTATATTAATTGTATAGCTGTAGCACGAATGGGTCGGCTCGACTGGGGAAGGACCACTCTCTCACAGAATACCAGCGTTAAATAGCAGCTTAACACTGCTGTGTTTCGTATGATGAGTGTAGAGAATCGGAGACCCTTTTTACTGGAGAAGAGGCATACCATCTTAGTCCTCACGGATGACAACGCATCTGCATTTTGATTCTTTATTGCGGATAGATGTAGATGTCTATGGTTCACAGCAACCAGTTACCATCAGGTGGACTGTGTGCTCGTTGGTCATCCTATCCTATAAAAAAACTACGTTTTAACAAAGTCGGACAGTAAGGCTCAAGGCCATACTGGACCATCGATGACAGTGTTTTAGTTGAAATAAGTTAGTTCACCGCTGGTCATAGGACTCCTCTCATTTATGAAAGTGTATGGTTTGGAGCAGGAATAAAGAAAGCTACTTACGATGCATTAGCATAGAAATTGGGAAACTTATATATTATGAAATGCTCATTATATATTATGCCGCGTAGTGGTGGTGTAAAAATATCCACTACCATATACCATCCCGTGGGTGTCGTAAGAGGCGATAGAGTGAAACAGGAACAAGAGATGAGCAGCGCCTTCCTGATAACAAATTAAAATAATAAAAAACTGCGGTTGCCAACCCGTTTGTCAAGCGTGGCAATTATAGCAAAATCCCCCCCCTATGAAGTATTCTATGGGGGAAACCTATGTTCAACAGTGGACTTTTGATAGGCTATAATGAATGAATGAATGAATGAAAATGCTCATACACTGCAATTATTGAATTAGTCAAACACCGTTTTGTGCTCAATGGCACCGTTAAAATTAAATTTTCGTTAATGTTTACTTTTCATTTGTTATTTTTTTATTTTTGTTCCTTAATTGTTAATTTATTTATTGTGATACTCGTATTATTTTCAACTAGATGCTTTAGAGAAGATTGAAAACGAAGCAATGGAAGCACAGATACAATATGAAGCTATTTCGTCTCATTGGGATGCAATGTTGAAGATAAAGGATCCTTTGGATATCGATTACGAAATAAAAAATCAAAAAGAAAAATGTGAAGCGTTGTTAGAACAGAAGAATCAACTTATCACTGAGTTAAAAGAGGAATTAAAACGTACGGACGATGCTTACTATGAAGATTTGGATAAACAAGTGAGAGTCTGAATTACGTCAATATTTCAAATTTATTTAATAAGTTTTAAATAGAAATGCTCCATTTTTATTTTTTAAGGTGTTATGAATATCATGAAAGTTACACTCATATTACGAAAGTACTATAAACGTATAAAGTATTCTGCTCACTATACCGTACCACATCATGACCGTACTAGGAACATGTCAGGCAAAAAAATTAATCTATGTATTTTTTTTAATAACTGGCTTTACGGTCTTTCTGAGCCTGAAGTTAAAATGTATATAATTATCCTTCATAGTACACTGCTTCACGATGTGTTGATGCGTCACATTGTGCAGCCCTTGGGACTTTGTCGGCAACTTTTCGACAAATTTCTAGTGAATGTTGAAAAGCACATCGAGTAACTCGATATAAACTTTCATCCTAAATGATAATAAAATTAAATAGCCATACTTAATGTAACTTTATTCTATATTTTACTTAAAAAATATGCCTTTTCTTAAATCTTAACTTAAATCTCACACATAATTTTTAGTATTGTTTTAAATAAAGTAATTGCGTTAATGTTAAAATGTTGTACTCACCTATAATTTAAGTACATATATATAATGTTATACAAAATGTAGCCGAAATGTTTTCATATGTACTTAGTTGGTAAGTCTAAATAAATAAATAAATAAATAAATAAATAAACTTGAGCCAGCAGACAGCTGACAGTTGGCGATGGTATCTCAAGGCGCCTAAGCATTCATACACCTTATCTTGAAAATCACATCACCATCAGAGCACTTGTTTCACCGTTTCCACTAATAGTTTACATGCGTGGTCAAGTTCCCGCCAAAACTCCGTGTCATAATCGCTACACTTGTCAGGTGGACTCGTGAAAATAGGACTTTGGTTTCACGTCGGGTGAATTGCAATGATCACATTTTTTATATTCGGGCCTTATGACACCTACCGGAGCAGTTGAAAAGATTAATAAATTATACCCTGCTAACGCATAGCAATCTTGATGAACGGAATCGTGGGTTCGACGCTTATTTATTCATGACTGGAGATCGTGTTCGCCTATTTTCAGAATGGTACTGGTATTACAGATATCAGGTAATAGGATTTTTATAGTTATTTACATAACTGCTTGTTTTTACTTTTCAGGATAAAGACATAAAAGAGTTATCGGATCGAATTGAAAAGCAAGTGACTATTATGCAAAGAGCTTATGAGAAGCAGTTGTCTCTGATAGAGCAAGCTATAAATATTGAACGTGAAGCTATGGTGGAACATAATAACAAACGTTGGGAAGCACTGTACAAACAGAGAGATAAGGAAGAAATTGCTCACTTGGAATACAAGTTCGACCAGGTGGTTAAATTATGTTCGTACCTAGTTGTAGCTTCACCACCATGCCTCGGTAAGTATGTAAAGTCGTTGGTTCTGCGTCTGATCTCTCTCCGCTCGTTTCGGATTGCCGTCCCATCAGACTATGAGAGTGAGCGAATAAAGAGTGCACCTTTGCTTGCGCCCACACTCGTGCACAGGCGCACAGCACAAGGCTAGTTTCCGTTGAAACGCGCCGCCTTGACCGAAATTCCGTCTGGAGGACCTTTTAATAATATAAGCGGCTAGTATAGGGATACTAGCCGCTTATATTATTAAAAGGCATAATGCATACAGCGTAGGGACGCTGTATGCATTATGCCAGGGATTCCCAAACTATTTTGGGCAAGAGACCCCTTTTCCAAAATAAACTGATACCTCAGACCCTCATAGCTAAATTACTTTTAAAATCCTATCTCTAGGTTTTTTTTCCTATTGATACGAAATACCAATTTAAAAACTTTGCGGTTGGTTAAGTGAGTAAACTTGACATCATTTTCTCATCAAATTTATCAAAATAAATAGACATAAACTTCTGTAAATATCAAGTGTAATTAATAATTATTAATACAAGTTACGTAAAAAACTTAAGTAGGTAGTTATTTAAAAAGAACTTTAAAACCGCAAAGTAAAGACAAAACAATTAAAAAACCAGTGTGATTGATAGACCTGGTGACTTTCTACCAATGTAGTTAAATCTGGTTCAATATTGGTGAGTTGCAGCCTTAAAGCACCGCGTTCGTTGATTTTCAAACGGTTTGTTTGTTTCGTCAAAATGTTTGTAACCACACTGAAGCTATTTTCGTTGGAAAAGTTTTATTACAGTTTCAAATAAGAACTTGCGTTAATTAATAGGGGTCGATTTTTAGACTTCGTCGACCCCTAAAATCAGTTTTCGTTTGTCTATCCCTGGGAAACCGATTTCGACTCCAATAAGGGGTCGATATCGACCACTTTGGGAATCCCTGCTTTTTGCTATGCGACGGACTTTTAAATTTTTACAATAAAGTAAGTACCGAACCCGAACCGGTACCGAAACCCGGGAGGTTTAGTTAATATTACTATATGACTAAATGAACATATTATAAACTACATAAAAATACTTTATTAGTTACGCTTCACTGCCACACGCTCACATATACAAATAAAACTATGTTGTTGTTTGCAAATGATTTTAGTAGAATGAGTTTTAATATAGTTTTTGCATCACTTGAAATGTACGCAGCACTTCACCTTTATTTTGTTTGTTGTTTTTTTTATAGGAAAAGGGTGACATACGAGCACACAGTCCACCTGGTGGTAAGTGGTTGCTGTGGCCCATAGACATCTACATCTATCCTTGTTAGCGAATAAAATGCAGGTGCGTTTTCAACCGTGAGGACTAAGGAGGAATGCCTCGTTTCCAGTAAAAAGGCTCTCCAGTGTAGAGCACTCACCAAACAAAACAAAGCAGCAAAGCTGCTATTTTACGCTGGTATTCTGTGAGAACGTGATCCTTCCCCGGTCGAGCCGACCCATTCGTGCTACAACTATACTAATAATATTTTCTTATTGCTACAATAAACAATATGTGTTATTTTTAAATATAGCTAGAAGAACATAAGGAACAAATGGAAGCTATAATGTGGGACCATCATACAAAATATCGGGAAGCAAAAATTGAGCTTGAATCATTAATACAGGAACTACAAAAAGAACTGGAGAAATTAAAGGCTACTTGCCTTATAAACACAGAAAAAATTGGATACAACTACCAAGTTTGTATTTATAAGCATTTAAAAGGTTCTAGAGCCTAAAAGACTTATGTTTAATAACTTTATACAATATTTTGTTTATGCATACTCAAGGATTTCATATAATAATTAAAAATATTAACAGAAAAATACATACTAAAATTTCGAACAAAAAAACAAACATTTTTGCATTTGTTGGCATGGTTTTAGGTGTTGAAAAAAAGGGAGGAAGAAAATGTATTTGTAAGATCGCAACAAAAGCGGAAATTAAATAAAATGTCGGACATTGCAAATAATTTACGCACTAAAATACGCAAAGCTGCTGAAGATGGCGCCATTGAAGAAATGAAAGCTGACGTTGAAATTATAAAATTGATGCAATCTATGGACGACTTGGAAAAGAAATCGCGACATTTTTCTCGAGTTAACAATTATAAATTTAGTCAAGTATGGCGTATGTCGGAAGCACAGTGTGCCCAGCATTTCAATGATATAAGAAACACTGAAGTTGCGCTGCATGCTCATATTTTGGCGGAACCCCCACCTCCACCTCAGCCTAAACCTTCAAAGAGCCCTTTATCAAAATATGGTATTTGATTTTGATTATTGAAACAAGATAATTAATTTATTACCTATAAAAACGAATACATATTAAACGTCCGCTTTATGAATGGATTTTAGAAATGGATAGAACGTGTACAGCTGTACAAGATGGGCACGAAGATCATGAAGACGTCAATAATGCTGCGACAAGAGACGCCAAAGACAGATTGGTATTAACCGAATGCATAAATGCATAGCAAATTCAGTATTGCTAATCATTATTTGTGACTAATATTTGCAAGTATTTCAGATCAAGCATATTCTTCAGTTGGTGGCCGACAATACAGGATTTTTAGTAGAAGATCGTTTATTAAAACTAATAGAAAAATATCAACCGACTTCTAGGAATCTATGTACGCTAGATTCCATTTTTATGGTAAATATTCTGATAAGCTAGGTGTTCACTTGCGCTGTATTATGCCTAATTAATTATTATTTCGTTTATAGGCTCTAGAAATCCAAGCTGAAGAAGACATAGAACTACTTTGTAAAATTTTTTTGGGCTATGCCTTTTGCTCGACTTGTGCTGGGATGGAATTAACTGCATCTGAATCTTTGGAACCATCATCTGTGGTAAGTTAATAATATTAATAATAATAAAAAATTAATAAAAATAAAAAGACGTAGGGAAGTGACAACCCCATCGCTCGCTGACGTAACAGTTAAGTGACAAAACTGCTAAGTCAGCGCAGTCAGTCAGCGCCTTGCCAAGAGGTGTGAGCGCCGTGCCTCGGCAGAATTGAGGGTACTAATTTAGGCCTGTTTGTGCTTACGGCCAAACCATAAAACGGTGCCGGCCCTGGATGTCTCCCCTTAATTGACGGCCTTGTATGGATGATGGAAAAAAATAGACCGCGCATAGAGCCGCAGCCTGGGGGTCGCCGGGGTGCCCCTGTAGCTGGTGCTGGACGCGACAGCATGTGGGCTACCAGTCAAGCACGAGGTGCTGCACGACCACCTAGCAGCCCATCGCATCCATCATACCTACCATATGGCTTAGTATCGGCAGGGTCCTCTCAGACTCAGCAAGCATCACCCGCCGCTGGTGGAGTACGCCGCATGCGTTGGACAAAAAATATGAACACAAACGCATTGCGGGCGTACTATAGGGCGAAAGAGGTAGTAACTGGAGAGATCGTATCGGGCCCGGATGCATCGCTTTTTTGCTAAGCTGGAGCCGTCTGTTCCCATCACAGACCCAAACCTTGCAGACCAAGTTCGGTACATCAAATACGCTCGAAAATATTTGATAATATTTGATAATGCCGAACTCGAACGATTACGACTTGAGACTATTCCCTCATCGAATGAACCAGCTATAGCTGGGGATGCGGCTCTTGCCGCTCTGGTTGATTCAGGCGATGGCGGAATAGTCACCCACGAACTAGAGCAGATGAGGAGTAATTTGGAGGAGGCGATTGTGGAAAGGCGTTGTACGCTCCTCGAAAATCGACAGCAACTCCCGAACCCGCGGACCCGTAGCAAGCGGAATCAAGATGTCGTGACGGCCCTGAACCTGATAATAGAACAAAAAATGTACCTAAACTCGAGCCGGTATCGCTACTTTTGTAGAAAATGGCTAGGGATGATCGTTTTTACAATATAAAATACTATTATTTTCAACAAAAATGTCACTACCATTTGAAGATGAAGAATCATTCTTTACGTGGTAGTTATTAGTTATATTTGATTTGGTTTAGTTTTGTTACAAAATGTACCGAAAAACTAATTCTGCCCGATTTGTAAACGCGTCCTTAATCTTTTTATTTCGCATTAATTTTAAGTATTGCTTACTTAATTTTTCTTTAAAATTAGTTTAAGGTTTTTGTTAAGTACGCTATTATTTTATTTGTTGCATCGAAAGTGAAAATTATACAGATAAATATTTAATGTATACTTATTATTTTAAATAAAACATTTCAGGCTGATTCTCAGGATTCACGTCCAAGTGTAGCGGGAAAGAGGACACCAGGTATAATTATATTTGAATTTGGTTTCAATAAATTTAATTTATGTATTACTATTTACATTAATGCCAACATAATTTTTACGATGCAGGCGAAAGATCCTCTACAAAAATTAGGGGCAGTGTTATCGCGAGAAGCATGTCGGTCTGCACATCGCGCTCTATTCATGTTGGATTTAAGTAAAGTTTGTTTTTCTGTAATTTTATGTGATAATATAATATGTACCTGAATTCTAAACATACAAAGATAATGCTAATTCCAAGTATACTTGGGTTACTTATGATTAGTATCATCCACTGATGAATAAAGGCCTCCCTCAAGAAATGTTAATGACGGTTTATTGCACAGGACTCGTGAGTTATCGCCAGCCGAGCTACAACTGGTAGAGGAAGCTGATGAGATCATACAAAAATGTGGTGATCCACAAGGTAAACATATGTTACTTCTATTGTTTAATTTTAACTGTGGTTTTACACTGCATTGTGGCATGTACATGTGACTTTTGTTCTGTAATATAAAAAATATGTATAAGAATATTGTCTTTTTTAATCAGAGCGCAACAGCATTTTAAGTAATTTCTGCTAACTTTTACCGCTCTTTCTTTTGCTGAAATTTTTAATAAATACTTAATTAATCTTACAATTTTCAACTTGTAAATATTATTATAACTTTTATTTTCAATAGCTATAATGCTTCCTTTGACCCAAGTATTAATACGGCTTTTATATTTTAATTGGTAGATTGTATGTTCATATCGAGAATTTTCAAAATCTGTAAAAATAGATATATTTCGTGTTTAAAATTGGTCTTAAGCGCGGTTTTTTGGTTTTTTATGTATTTAGTAGAGGCTTGATGAAATAGTCTTGTCGTAATTGTAATTGTATCTAGTAAACTGCCGTATCCACCACATTTGGCGTGATGTTGTGGGTGGTGATGGACTTCAACGGATAAGGACCGCTCTTGCACAGAATGCCAGCATAAAATAACATCATATTGACGACGATATCCGGAGTTCCTTTTTACTGGCGCTCCTTCTTAGACCCCAGGAGTGACCACGCATACGTATTTTGATTCTTAATCGAGGACAGATATAGGGATACCTTCAGGTGGACTGCGCCATATTATTACAAATATTTTATACATAGCAAGCTCAACCGTAACGAGGGCGACTTCAGACACAGCGGCGTCAGCACCAGGACGGCGCGGCGGCCGTGGGGTCACTGTTTCTCCACATCATACGCTTGCTGTCAACAAGGAAAACCCTTTCCTATGCCCAGGTATTTGTCTGATGATATCCCTCGGATTTTCCGGTAGTCTGTTTATTTTGATCTTATTTCTTTTACATTTCAACTACATTTACTCGAACATTATTTTTAAGTGGAATACCTACATACAGTTTGTTACATCCACTATATTACGCGAATTAACTACAGACACATATTTTTATCTAATTGATTTTTCTTGATAGGCTGTATTGAATGAATGAATAAATGAATATTTTTCTTGCTTTTCCCATTGAAGAGGCCATTTAAGTTAATTGTTACCTTAGTTGTAATTCTTGGCGGGCGGATTGACAATCGCAGTACCAGACGTTTCGCACTTTTGACGCTGCTCGTCGCCGGTCTTTCTACAATGGAGAGGTCCAGCAGTAGATTTTACGGGCTGATGTTAAGAAAGAAGATTTTGACTATGACTTCAAATAGAAATATTGGACCCGACTTGGACTCAAATCTAAAAAGCCACACGATCATTGAAGTACATATTTTATATTTAATTTTTATCTTATCTTAAACGTAATATATGAAAGAGGTTCGAATCCAATGGTCGAGTTAGATATATTGAATGCTTTTTGATCAAGCGGCGTTGCACTTCAGTCTTGCAGCAAAACTGTTCGACCAAACCAAATCATTTGACCATTCTAAACTCTTTCCTATTTTACGTTCAAAATTTAATACGTACTCTTCGTTGAAAAAAAACGTAGTACGCACTAGGCGTAGTGACCTCATTTTACCTGACAATCGACATTTTTTACACAATATTTTTTTTTGTTTAATTTTATTTATCTCATTGCCGCCAGTTGTCAGACGCGTTTGAACGTCGAACACAATTTCATACATTACCCCATAGAGTAACATGGACCACCGGCTTGGCGGACCGGAGGGGAGTAGCAATAGCGTTTCTTCCCGATACAGAACTGTCTGTCATTTTTTGCGAGGAGAAATCTGCGCACACAAAAATAATCATCTGTTACTACGACACTCCACATAACAAATGAAACAGTAAACTAACAATTTCACACGCACACACATCCATAGATACATTATATTATAACAGTATCGTTCGGTGACAGCGACAACTCAGATCCTCGGATCAGTCGCTCGACCGATTCGTATATTGTATGAGGCTGAGCGGCCTGTGTTAGTAAACAAATCCAAAACAACACTGTTTTTATTGTAATTTTTAGGTTTAAAAAGAAGTAAATAGCAATAATATGATAAATAAATTACTTATCTATGAAAAGCGTTACTTTTACCTTCAATATTATTTTTTTATTTCTATAGTTATATAGTTTATTTATTAAATAACTACCTAAAGCGTGGTCCCATTTAAATTGGTAGTAATATTTCAACCGCTATGGATAGAAAAATAGGGAATGAATTTTTTTGTAACTATTTAGACGATATTCTAGTTGTTGCCTTAAGCTTGTAATATTGCTTATTCCACTCACAGGGGTTAAAAAATTAAAACTTTAAAAAATTTTGCAAAAACTAAATAATATCCTCATGCTGTTCCTCATTCTTCTCAACTACGGAAATTCAAATTCAGCAAGAATTTATTTAAAACATCTTGTATTTTTTCTAGCGGGGCATTACATGGAAATTGAACCTATGCAGGTTTTGACCGCTCTAAACGAATTTATGTCTGTATTCGTCCCACCGGATAAGAAGAAACTATACGATATACTGTAAGTAAAATGCTTGAACGCACTTATTACAATTAATTTTCGCGGTCCCATTTCAGTAAGGGCCTAAATGCTTTCCACAGCTGAGCTTACATCTGTTTTATGAGAATAAGCAGGAAAATGACCACAGCAATATTGTTGATTCGCGGCTTTACTTTTTTATTTTACAGTCTATCACGTTATACATATTTTACATAGTTCTGTACTCAGAAGATTATTCGAGATTTATAGGATTTCATTTTATTATACACAAGAATCCGCAACAATATAACATATAATATTTCATCATTACCAATATTTAAATTTTTTCATTAATAATGTTTCACTGCAGTCTGGTTCTTTGTTTTTTAAAGAACTCATATGTGAGTTAGTGTTGTAATGTTAACATTGGATAATTCTAGCTGTAATTTTAGGGAAAGTGTAAAGCCCCCTGACTTCACCACACCGTCGCGTAAATTGTCAGCGGAAGAAATTGTACAGTATTGGAATCAATGGAAAAATGTGTTCCCGGCTGAAAAGGATCGCTTTTGGGACGGTTTGTTAGCTGGCCTCAATACCTACTTGCCAATATTGCAAGGTAACTTACATTATTTCCTTCTGTTTATCCTCACTGAAAACAAAATAATTTATTGCAAAAAGAAATCAAAGACAAATAAAATATTGAATAGTGTTGATATAATATGTAAATAAGCTTATTTCCGCAACCATGATGTTAATTCGATAACGTTTTTTGTCGTATATTCGTTTCAACGGTCGGATAAAGAATATTGACAATATCGTAGTTTGAAAAGCATTTAGACATTACTCGTACAATTAAGGCCCTTCTCCCGTTATGATACACACAGACGACTATCCTACGGGAGTCTCGAAGACTAGTCGCCGTGGAGTATCCCACATACATTTAAATAGAGAATCGCACACTTCGCTATCAATATCCTACGCGTCCGCAACTAATCTCGCGATACCCGCCGTGTTAGTCCTGAGTCCCTCCCTCGTCTTTTTTATAAGAAACCCAGTTTTAAATTAATTTTTCTCACCTGTCTAAAAGATTGAAAATTGATGAATAATACCCAAACAGATAGATCCTGATTTGAATGATGACCGTTCACCTGATTTGAATCCATTACATTTTTTTACTGGGGCGCCGTCAAAGAAAAAGTTTATTTAAAACTGATTGAAAATGTAGCTGAGCCAGCCTCGAGCAAAACAATCTCAACCATAATCTAGTCTAGACTTATCTTAGCAATCAAAGTAACTAAACAATCTCAGTTGAACAGACACGTCCGCTCTGTGCGAGTAGCTACATATTTATTTATCTATGTGTGCGAGCACTGTTGATAGAATGCCCCATAGATAAATAAATATGTAGTAGGATTAAGGATCGCCCTAGCTCCTGCGGCCGCAACCAAGCATGACTCGGTATGACGTCACGCTTGCGTTCAGTTCTTGTTTCTTATCGATGATGGAACATTAATCCTATATATTCTATAATGTCTTACAACTGGAGCAAATTTCGTGTACAGTAAACATTGATAATGGCAACATTTTCTTTAACTTAATATTTGTTTGCTTTTATTATTATCATTCTATCCTATAACCAGTAAAGGGTGATAATGACTCCAAAAACTATAAAATAGGGGCGGAAATGATAATGACTCCGATTATCATAAATCTGGAACCAAAATAACAATTGAAAAGGATACATATGTGAGACTTTGTGTGGCTCTTTGCACAATTTTTTAGTCATTTCCATATGTTTCTAATTATAACATTTCTTTTGAATAATGGCGTTGAGATCCAAGAGATTTTAAAGTAAAATTAAAGTTTAACGAATTTTGTTTTTTCTTACGTTTTCAATTATTTTAATAGAACGGGAGCGTCTGCACGACGACGTAGTGGAATTGCGGATGCGCAACGCAGCATTACGCCGTCTTGTACGCGGCGCACTACCAAAGTTACCTCCTCCTCCTCCTCCTTCAAAACAACGTACCGACCGACGAGCTTTTACTGCTCCAGTGACCGATAACGCCCCGGCGTCCGCCGCACTGCCCCCCATATTATTATTTAATTGAGTTAAATAAAACAAGACTTAATAAACTCCGCGTTTTATTTCTATTGACACGGGCTACTCTACACATTTACACAGCTTTAACAATACGATAAACGCTTGCGGCAAAAAGAGGTTGCCTGTATGAAGAAGCTTTCCTTCTGCGTTTCGCTTGGTTAGTGCAGGTGGCTGGATGGAATGCTGTCTTTCTTTGCATCCTACCCATGGGAGCGGGTTTGCTGCTCGCCGCATGATCCCAGTGCTGTTGCTGATTCTATCATTGATGTGGTGCTTCAGGGAATGAAACTATATATTCTATCATCTGTGGTACCTATCGGAGGCTGATCTCAGTCTTGGTTTTTCGCTTCTGTAAGACTGCATTATGCAGTAAGCAGATGTCTTATCAGGCCTGGCTTCGCGACTAGGGCTGTAAACACCAGCATCTTTAAAAAGAAGTATAACTTTGCCTCCAGGTCTTCCAAAAGAGTTATTGACAAGACAAAGTATGAGCACATGGCAGAATTGGTGATAAATTAGTTCGCCTTCCTTCGGAAATCAGTGCATTATGGTCTCTTGCTAAGGCTGTCCTAGAGAATTTCTGTAAGTCTTAACTTCCATCTCTGCACAGGGAAGATGACTCACTGGCCCACCCCGGAAAAGAGAAAGCCATTTAGGCTCCCTTTTTGTGCCCAACTCGACGGGGTAACACACCGCTGGACATCCCGCGGTGTGAGTTTTCTATGCCTGATAACCATTTCACACAGTGCTTAGTACGCAAAGCCTCCTCCTCCCCGGACACCTCCACAAGTTGAGTGGGCCTGACGGAATCCCCCCAATTGTGCTGAGGACGTGTGTTGGCACCGGTTCTATCGCGTTTTTTGGTAACCCTACTCCCTAGATGTAGTCCCAAATTTATGGAAGACAGCTTTAGTGTGATGCTTTAGGATGACTGCTTAGATCTGTCCCACTACTGGCCTATCACTTTCACCTCCTTGTTTAAGAATAGAATCATCATCATCATCATCATCATTACAGCCCTTCACAAGTCCACTGCTGAACATAGGCCTCCCCCAAAGAATGCCACAAAGCACGGTCCTGAGCCACCTGCATCCATCGACTTCCTGCATGTCTTACCAGGTCGTCACTCCATCTCGTGGGGGGACGCCCTACACTTCGCCTACCGGTACGAGGCTGCCACTCGAGAACCTTTCTTCCCCATCGGTTGTCGGTTCTTCGAGCTATATGGCCGGCCCACTGCCACTTCAGCTTCACTTCTTACGGATTAGTAAGAATAGAATAGAATAGAATAATTTTTTATTCAATATAGATCACATGTGTAATTCTTATTGAAAGTCATTTTTTTACTTTACCACTGGTTCGAAAAAAAAACCTCTGTCCTGGGAAGAACCAGCAAGAAACCCAGCGAGACTTTTTTTTAAAGCAAACTTTACAATAATAGTTGTAGAAACTACATAAGTACAAAATTTATTTTAGAAACAGCTTGGAGGCGATCACCTCATTCCCTGGGGTTATTATCAACCCTGTATTCATTTATACTATAATAACCCTTTTTATACAGTTTCAACTTTACAAAACATTTAAACTTGCTAATAGAGAGAGCCTGTACACTTTCCGGGACCTTGTTGTAATAGCGTATACATTGCCCCAAGAATGAATTACTGACTCACTAGCTTGTGTTTGTTCCTAGTGTTTACAGAATGCACGTCACTTTTTTTACTAAAACTACCAGGCCAAAGTTAATATATTTATTTCTTTAAATTTATCTCTAAGAGACTCTCTCGGTTTTAGGTTGTAAATAGCTCTAATGGCCCTCTTCTGTAAAACAAAAATAGTTTCAGAATCAGCCGCATTTCCCCATAGCAAAATCTCATAAGACATTATGCTATGGAAATAACTGAAATAAACTAATCTAGCTGTCTCGACACTAGTGAGACCCCTAATCTTTTTTACAGCATAGGCTGCAGAACTTAGTCTGCTTGCTAGTTTGGATATATGGGGGCCCCACTGAAGCTTTGCGTCGAGATGATGCCAAGAAAAACAGTGGATTCAACAGGGCTCAGTTCTTCCCCATTTAAAAACACATTGGTACTCAGATTTTTAACATTCTTTGTTGTAAATTTAATACATTTAATTTTTTTTCCGTTTAAATGTAGATTATTAACGTTAAACCAATGCACTAATTTTGATATAGCATTATTTACCTCGTCACATTTAAATGATTGACGTTTAAGTTTAAAAATCAAGGAAGTATCATCAGCAAACAATACTATATCATGATTATCCTCTACAAGAGAAGGTAAGTCATTAATATACGCTAGAAATAGGAATGGGCCGAGAATCGAGCCCTGAGCGACACCCATTAGTACAGGTGAGCCGGAAGAACTTTTAGCATTGATAATAACTTTCTGCATTCTATTACTTAAATATGAAATAATAAGTTTAAGCGCTGTGTTCTTGACACCATAGTACTGTAGCTTCCTGATTAATGTCTCATGGTGAACGCAGTCGAAGGCCTTTCTCCAAAATAATAGAAACAATCATAAACTGCCAACTCATAAGGTCCCTTGAGGATAACCCGCTGATTAGTGACCGCCAGTACGGTTTCCGTCGGGGTCACTCAGCTGGGGATCTTCTTGTTTACCTAACACCGATGGGCGTAGGCGGTCGAGTCCAATGGGGAGGCTTTGGCAGTCAATTTGGACATAGCTATTTCTTCTGCACATCAATGATAATATGTTGCAAACCGGTAACATTCATTGCTATGCAGACAACAGCACTGGTGATGCTTTATACACAGGCCATGCCAATATTTCTCAGGAAAACGTCCCCGAGTACCGGAACAAACTTGTGTCTGAAGTCGAGACTTTGTTGAACAAAGTTTCGGATGGGAGGCGACTAAATCTAGTCTAGTTTAGAAGACACAAGTTTGCATGTTTATAGAAACCCTTTATCGTATCTCTTCAGTTTCAAGACACTCCCCTTGTTGCCTCTGCCAGTATCGGAATCCTCGGCGTCGACATAACGAATGACGTGCAGTTTCGTGAACACTTGGAGGAGAAGGCCAAATTGGCCTCTGAATAGCTTGGCGTGCTCAGCAAAACGGGACAGTATTTCATGCCGGCACACCGCCTGCAACTTTACAAGTTATAGGTTCAGTCTCACATGGAATACTGTTCCCATCTCTAGGCCGAGGCTTCCCAGTGTCTGCGCCTTCTATTTGATCGCGTCCAGTGCAGTTCGAATCGTCGGCGACCGAGCTCTTTCAGATCAGCTTGACTCACTGGCGCTGCTAAGAGATGTTGCATCTCTTTGCCTATTCTATCGTATCTACCACGGGGAGTACTCAGAGGAATTGTTCGGACTCATTCCAGTCGCTCAATTTCACCATCGCACATCGCGGCAATACTTGAAATACCATCTACACCTGGATGATTCGTGGTCCACCACTGTGCGAACAAGAAGTTTTCTTCGCACAACTTCCTTGTGGAATCGACTACCAATTGGACGGTCATAGGTAGTCACTTACGATCAGGTGAGCCGCATGTTCGTTTGCCTCCTCTCCTGTAAAAAAATAGTTTAAAAAATTAGTGGAAATGGTGAAACAAGTGCGCCGATGGTGATGTGGATCTCAAGATAAGGTGTTACTTTGGCGTCTTGAGATACTATCGACACTTATCTACTGGCTCAAGTTCCAAACAAAATCTCCCAAAGGCTGCGCAATGTGACGCATCAACATATTGTGAAGCAGACTTAGTAGTCTACTTAGTAGTAGTTAATAGTTAAAGGATTATTATTATTATTATCACTTGATACTGAGATAAATGAAGACATGGCTTAAAGAACGAGCATCCAAGCCAAAAATCTTATTAAAAAAGTAGTTTGTTTGTGGTCAACTGTCAACTAGGGATGCGTAAGTGAAAAAATATATCGATATATATCGCGTTATAAATATCGATATATCGTCATGTTTTTCATGATGTAGGATTGTGAGAATTTGGTATTCCCACAATGAACAAAGCTACGGCGCGCGCTCACACCCAGCGGAATACTTCGGCAACCTTCGGAAGTTACGTCCGTGATATTAAGTATACTCTCACCACGCCAAGGTGCCCTTCACTCGCTTAGAGATTCCGGAGTAGACGCACGTTCGATTGCCTTGCATTTCTATACTTACGATTGCTACATTTTAGTATTGTTTTCTTAATTTCCACCCTTTTACTTTTACTCTTGTTCTTTTTGTTTGTTATATTTAGTGTAGTATTTTTGGCTTGTTTTATATTATCCAGTGTTAAATGTAAATTCTATTTTAAATAATTATAGCTGACTTATATTGAACTTTGGACAGTTTTTGTTCACAATACTACCTGAGAGACAGTGTAGTTTCAAATACATTAGTCGCTACGGAATATAGCCCAAAATTAAAATACTGGACTGTTGGACATAAAAACAACAACAGCACAGGAATGCTTTTGTTGCTTTATGTTTTGTCGATTAATACAACATTTAAAAATATTTCTAAATTGATACGAATTTGATACTCTAAAATGAATATCCTATATACATCGATATTTTTTACACAAGCCTAGTGTTAGCATCCTGTCCTCTGCATAGAGTACCTCTGTCCACAGACTAATATGATGCTTACGGATGCTTTGTAGGCATGTCGATGCACTTAAAAAAATCGATCTCAGATCCGAATCGCGACATTTTCAAACATGCCTAAATTATTAGTGATTGGCATAGAAAGTGCTATTTCTGGGATTTATTGACCGTTATCTGAACATGGATATGCCTTCTGAATCCCAGAAACATATTATTTATTTATTTTATTAAACTGATTTTTTACTGAGGACTATTTTGGGAATTCGTATTTTACATAATACATACCTATTCAGCTTTATGCACATATTGTATTGGTCACTAAAGTCATGTATTTCTCTTTCTTGCTCTCTATTATCTCTAGTTTCGTAGCTCATCGCGGGGGAGGTGAGGACTTGGTTTCTCTTTACCCATTCAACATAATGTGTTGTGTATATGGATAAGGAATGATTATAGCTTGTTAGAGATTCTATATTAGTTTAACTTTCCATCTGTATAAAATAAAAGCTGGTTCATCGTGCATAATAAAATCAAGCTTGCATAATAAAATCAAGAAGTAGGCTTTAAATTACGCGAATGACGCAAAATTGCGAGACCAACTTTATGATTTCTTTACTTTAAATCTAGAAGTCTATAATATATGTAACACCTAGCACAAAATTTATTTTTGTCTAGAAGTTGTTGTTTTTAGTTTTTATCTTAATTATTTAATCATCTTCATATTTCACAAATTTATAAATAAAAATGGTATTTATTGAGACGTAATAATGAGATTCAATTTCTCAACTCCTATACTACATATGAGCGAACGAACTATAGGAAGGTGATTTCTTACGATTTGTAACATACGAATTTGTTTCACATTGATGAGCATTGAAATCTCCTACTGACCAGTAATATGGCAATAGCAAGCTTATACCGGAAATGAATAGTTTGATATGTCGTTGTGCGTACTTATAATATTTTAAACAGTTTAATTTCATTTAATACATCATTATTCAGAAACATATTTCCGGGAATCCCGGAGCGTGTCCACATTAACATTGACATTCTAGTTCATTGACTCAAAATAGCACTACCTACACATTTCAATGCTAATAATACATATAATAACAACAATAATTTAACAAAAGTGCAAACTGCAACGTCCATTCTTCAGTAAATCAAATTGAAATGAATGCTACACGAACACAATATTGTATATTTCGTTACTTTAAACTTCAACATATACCTAATATTTACTCACAGTATATTTTTGATAAATAAAGTAAATTCACAGTACAGATTCGGTTAGACGCCTAGATTCACGGTATAGATTATAACAATGACAAGGGACAACTTTTATTTATTAGTAAGTAACGTTTATTATTTATACGTAACAAAGCCACGCTGCAGCGATATTAGTTGTAGCACGAATGTGTCAATTCAGCCAGGTTAGGACCACGCTCTCACAAAATACCGCGTAAAATAGCAGCTTAAGGCTGCAGTGTTTCATTTGATTAGTGTAGAGAACCGGAGGAAAACCTTTTTACTAGAAACGAGGCATTCGATCTTAGTCCTTGGGGCTGACAACCCATCGCATAAATATTTATTTGTTGCGTTCAAATTATCAACCAAGTACACCGGTTGTTTTTGTGTTCAACAACAGCAAAACATTAAAAAAAGTCAGCCAAGTACAAGTCGGACTCGCGCATGAAGCGTTCCGTATCATCGTAAAACACGTTTCTAGTACTAAGCCAGATCTGAAAAATCGATTATTTTACTCGAAATAATCGATTTCAGATCGACATGTCTAACCTAACTGTTGAAGACTCGAAGAGAGTTCGATGAAGCTGTAAAAGCTAAAAGCCGCAGTTAACCAGTTAACAAACAAGCAGTGTGACCATATGTGGCAGGTTCCTGCCATTTTGGCAGGATTGACCTCTTATTTTAGCCTCTGGCATGATCGGTTGACGTTTTATAAAACCTGGCAGTATTTGGCAGTATTGGGGTATTAAAATAGATTTCATTATGGCAAATTAAAATAACGAAAATGGCAACCCTAGATACTTCGCCAGCATGTTGGGGATTGCCCTGTATTTCTCGATTTCTCGTATTATGTTTGTATCATATTCAATAAACAACTTTTAAAAAAATTGTGTATAATTAACACGAGTTCGTTAATATTTCAATCAGTCATAAAAGAGACGTACTTTAGTTTGGTATCGCATCAGATTTCATGGTGATTACATCTTGTTAATAATATTTTGTTGACGATAGTAATTATAGGTGGCTATGATGAAGCGAAAATAAGAAAAGGCGTATAGAGCGAATTGGGAGCAAGATCTTTTAATTTCATCATGGATCTCCAAAGCTAAAGATGATCCAGACTGTGTAATTGCAAATTGGCACCCCGGCAGTCCGCTTTAAAAAGCACGCCGCTAATAGTAAACATCAAAAAAATATGAGTGGATGCAGCATGCGAAAGAATATTCTCGCAAATGAATTTAATTAAGACAAAAACACGAAACAGATTTATAAACAAACATGTAGCGTCTATCTTGTACCTTAAACAAGGCATTGGTGAGCATAGCGATTGCATTGCATTTAAACCAACGAAATATATGTTTAATTTTAATTTATTAAAATGTAGCGTTTATATTTGTATTTTTACTTTTCTTAGTTTAATACAATGGTAAATAAAGTTGGCAGTATTTAGGCATTTTTCACTACGGACTTTGGCAGGATTTGGCAGGTTTTTAACCAAAGTGAGGCAGGATCTGTATTTTAAAGATGGTCACCCTGCAAACAAGACCACTCAGCTTGTGTCAGCTTGCTACATATATATTTATCTATGAACAAGACTCGAAGAGCCGAAGTATAGAATACCTCCTACCTATTTTTTTAGTGATAAATCTTATTACTGTTAAAAAATAATAGCCTGCTATACTTTAGTGATAAACGCATAGTATTGAAATTATGTCGTAACGGCACATTACATGTATTAAGTATTATTCATAAAATTTTGAACTACAAAATTGCCAATCAGATGTGCTATATATTAAACGATTTATGATTGCTCTAATTTTTTCATATTATACTTAAAGACAAGCATAGTGTTCTTTTTTATACTAAAATTGATCGTTAATTTAAAACTAAAATGTTGAGAATAATCTTTCATATATTAGGAGTCGTCCTATTTTTCTACGGATGTTACTACGATCATACTTTTGTGAAAATACCGAATACTTCGTCAACAGTGACTCCTTTTGGGGGTAAATTAAAATACTTAACTTTTCTCAATGCGGTAAGTTATTGTCGTTAATAATTTCAGAGTTCTGTATTTTCGCATTATACGTTTGTTATTTTTAGTACTGGTATTTTTAAGTTAAATTCTATAAAAAATAGTCATAAAATATTTGACGTCCTTGTTTTAACGTTAGGCTATATTGCTTGAAATTACAATTCACAACGAAAAACTTATATGTTGTGGGTTTATTTATTTAATTTGAATGAAATGCAGGTTTACAAGTGATGTTTTCTTTTTTAAAAGGCCAAAAGAACACCTAAAATTGCAAATGACCAGTACCTGCTGTTAATATTAATTATATAATTGTAGCACAAATGGGTCGGCTCAACCGGGGAAGGACTACACTCTCACAGAATACCAGCATGTAAAATAGCAGCTTAATGTGTTTCATATGGTGAGTGTAGAGAACTGGAGACCACTGAAAACGAGGCATTCCATCTCAGTGCTCACAGGTGACAACGCATCTGTATGTTGATTCGTAAATGAGGATAGATGTAGATGTCTATGGGCCACAGCAACCACTTCAGATGGACTGTATGCTCGCTCGTCACCCTTATCCTATAATAAAACAAATTCAATTCACTTTCACACTAATAATTTTAAGGCAAGTATTTATAACCTAAGCTGCCATAGCTCGATAATGTTTTGAAGGACCTTCAAGTGCAGGGATAAAATTGGGGTCTGTATAGTAAAGTCTGCTAATACAAGTCATGGCAGCGTTGTAAACTCATCCTTGTGTCCACTTCATAAAATAAGAGATCTACCCAACAGTGTATAGTTGTTTCTTTTACCAGTATGGTTGACAAACAAGCACACAGTCCAACTGATCCAACTCGTAATGTCCAAAAAATGCACTCTTGTGGATTAAGATGGAATTCCCTTTTTATTATTAAAAAAAGTTTCTGATTTTACACTCACCATACTAAACATAGTAGTATTATTCTGCTTTTTCATGATGAAATTCTGTGACAGAGTAGTCCTTCCCAGGTTGAGTCAACCCATTTGTGCTACAGTTATAATACAGCATGGCTTTATCACATAAAATTCTTCTTATTTCCAGTTAGAGGGTATGGAAATTAATTAATTATTTTACTTTTTAGATGCTGCAAACAGTTTACTTCACCATGGCAGTGTTGAATGATATTTTTGGATCAAATGAACCAACTCCATCACACAAACCTGTAGTAAGACACATTAAGGACACAATGTTTAGCGCTCTAGCTTTCCCTTTGGCTTTATTTGTTGGTATAACATTTTGGGGTCTGTATGCTGTTGATAGGGAATTAATTCTTCCTAAAGCCTTGGATCCGTACTTTCCTGTATGGTTAAACCATGTTATGCATTCATATATTGTTTTATTTACATTAATTGAACTTTTCACATCATTTAGAATGTACCCTAAGACGAAAAATGGATTAACCATACTTTTTAGTTTCATGATATGCTATGTTGTTTGGATTCATTATATTTATTTCCAAACCGGCAGCTGGGTATATCCAGTACTGGCTGTTATTAATTGGCCACTAAGAGTAGTTTTCTATTTGTTTAGTCTTGGTTTTATATTTAGCTTGTACTTATTAGGTGAGAAATTAAACAGGATTATTTGGTCTAAAGAAGTAGAATCTACTGTAAAGTCAGGAAAGAAAAAAGCTAAATAATTTATTGCATTTAATAGGCTTATTTAATTGTATTAAAATACATAATGTGCGGGTGTATTTACAATTTTACTGCTCAATATATAGAATTTCAAGTGGCTTACATTAATTTAGAATATGCTTTAGAGTCTATAAAATTGTGAAAGTACCTAGTAATAAAATTTTTGTCATTTCAAATACTATTGTGAAGTATTATGACTAAATAGTTAAAAAAAGCAAATTTAAGCACAAAATTCTTTTTTGTATCAGCTGCCTCTTTATTTTTTTATAATCACAACTAATTATCATAATTGTCATAGCATCACAATTGTCATAGCATTCTCACAAGCTAGTTTATATAAGTTAGTGTGAGATAGCATTGGGTTTGAAGGGTAGATTTAATGAAAATCAATAAAATATTTTTAGAAATGTATTGTTTTTTTTGACAGCAAAGAAAAAAAGGAAAATAACTAGTTAGTGATTTTGGCTTATTATTAATATTCTCCACCCACACATACACACACACACACACACACACACGCGCGCGCGCACGCACACACACGCGCGCACACACACACACACACACACACATATACATGTATATATATATATATCATCATTACAGCCCTTCACAAGTCCACTGCTGAACATAGGCCTCCCCCAAGGAATGCCACAAAGCACGGTCCTGAGCCACCTGCATCCATCGACTTCCTTCATATCTTACCAGGTCGTCACTCCATCTAGTGGGGGGACGCCCAAACTTCGCCTGCCGGTATGAGGCTGCCACTCGAGAAACTTTCTTCCCCATCGGTTGTCGCTTCCTCGAGCTATATGGCCGGCCCATTGCCACTTCAGCTTACTAATCCGTTGGGCTATGTCGGTCACTCTGGTTCTACTGCGGATATCCTCATTTCTGAGTTTATCACGCAGAGAAACTCCGAGCATAGCCCTCTCCATAGCTCGCTGAGCGACCTTGAGCTTCCTCATCCGGCCAGCAGTGAAGGACCACGTCTCAGTTCCGTATGTCATCACTGGCAACACGCACTGGTTGTACAGTCTCGTTTTCAAGTTTTGAGGTATACCTGACGAGAAGATGTGCCGTAATTGCCCGAACGCTGCCGAACCGAGTTGAATCCGTCGATTGACCTCTCGGTCGAGGTTGGACTTACCTAGTCGGACTATTTGTCCCAGGTAAACATACTCGTCAACAACTTCGAGCTTAGTGCTCCCAACAACTACCGGCATAGGTGTGACATGGACATTAAACATGATCTTTGTTTTGTCCATGTTCATCATAAGACCTATTCGTTGGGAAGCACTATTGAGGTCATTGAGCATATTGCTTAGGTCCTCCAGCGATTCTGCCATAAGGACTATATCGTCGGCAAATCGAAGGTGAGTGATGTACTCGCCATTGATGTTGATACCGTATCCTTTCCAGTCCAGAAGCTTGAAAACGTCTTCCAATGCAGCGGTGAAGAGTTTCGGGGATATGACGTCACCCTGTCTTACACCTCTCTGCAATTGGATAGGTTTCGTACTCTGATTCTGTACTCGGATAGCCCTCGTAGCCCTACTGTACAAGCACTTCGATATACCGACAGTCCACTTGGCACCGCTGAAGGGACTGCAGCACCGCCCAAATTCCGACGGAATCAAAGGCTTTCTCATAGTCCACATACGCCAGACAGTGGCAAATTGTACTCCTCTGACTTTTGTACAATTTGCCGAAGGGTATGTATGTGGTCTATGGTGCTAAAGCCTTTTCGGAAACCGGCTTGTTCGGGAGGCTGGAAGTCGTCAAGTCTGCGCGCGAGACGATTCGTAATGACTCTCGAAAACAGCACGTAGACGCGGCTCATAAGGGAAATCGGTCTGTAGTTCTTCAAGAGAGCGTTGTCGCCTTTCTTGAAGAACAAGACCACCGCACTTCTGCTCCACGCCTCCGGTGTAATGCCACCATGGAGGACGGAATTAGAGAGCTTTTGAAGGACTTCAAGTACCGGTTTTCCACCCGCTTTCAGAAGCTCCGCTGTAGTTCCATCCTCACCTGGGGCCTTGCCGTTTTTAAGGTGCTGGAGAGCCATTCTAATCTCGCTCAGACTGACGTCCGGGATATCATCGGAATAATGTCGGATAAGACTCGCTCTTGGATCGTTACTCACACTCGCGTGTGGCTCCAACGATGACGTGTACAACTGCCCATAGAACCTCTCAATCTCACTCAAAATCTCAGGTGCCCCGGAAACGATGCTGTCACATTCTGTCTTCAGCTTTGACAGTTGGCTCTTTCTGGCAGACAGATCTCTGGCAAAGACTTTGGAGCCTTGGTTCCGCTCGATCGCTTCTTCAATACGAGCTGTATTGAAGTTGCGTAAGTCCCGCCGCATGCATTTGGAGATCTGTCTGTTCAGTTGCCTGTATGCTGCCAAATCTGTTGAAGAATCTAGCTTCATCTCCCGTCTAACAGCCATGAGATTGAGAGTGTGATCGGAGAGTTTTTGTGTTCTTCTGCGGCGGGTCTTGCAGAATTTAGCTCCGACCGCATGGACAGTTTCCACGAGCTTGTCATTCATATCGTCCACTTCATTGCAGTCTTCTAGGCACTGAAAACGGTTTTTTAACTCGAGCTGAAAGGTTTCGGGACTTTGGATTAGAGCACGAGGGGGACGGAGCGTTGACTTCATTAGACGAGACCTCTCCAACTTAACGTTTAAGTTCAGTGTGCCTCTAACCATTCGGTGATCGCTGCCGGTTTTCAACCTCGCGATCACTGAGACATCACTGAACAGTTGTCGTCTGATCGTCATAATGAAGTCAATCTCATTTTTTGTCGAACCGTCGGGGCTCGACCAGGTCCACTTCCTGTGCGGCCGCTTCTGGAAGAAAGAGGTCATCATAAAGAGTCCCTCTTTCTCCATGAAGTCGGCCAGCTGCTGGTCCCTTGGGTTCCGTTGCCCTATTCCAAATTTCCCTACTTTCAGCTCACCATTCTCTCTTGTGCCTAGTTTTGCATTGAAGTCTCCCATTAACACCGTATATTGGGTTTTGGAGGAATGCATGGCTCTAGAGATCCTCATACATTTCCTCCACCTCCTTATCGGAGTGTGCCGAGGTTGGTGCGTAAACCTGTATGACCTTCAGCGAATACCGTTTGGTGATTCTGAGTATAAGGTACGCAACCCTCGTCGACACACTAAATCTTTACAACGTTGTTAACGAGAGACTTGGACGATAAATTCGACACCTCCTTGGGACAGATGGTCGCCCTCCCGGTGATAGAGCAAGTTGCCGGATTCGAGGATTACCGTTTCCTCCCCCTCTCTTCGGACTTCGGATAATCCTATAATATGTCTATCTCTTCTTCCAGCTCCACAATCTTCTCGTCAGTCCTCAGGGTGCGTGCGTTGTATGTTGCCAGGTCGAGTCGTCGTAGGTGGCAACCGAACCTCCAGCGGAGATTCTTAGCACCCCCTACCCCGCCGTGCGGTTGCCACGCTTGGCGAGCGGGTTGGCAACCGCAGTTTTTTTTATTGTATTTTTTTGCTGTTATCAGGAAGATGCTGCTGCCAATCTCCTGCCTGTTTCCCTTGTCGCCTCTTACGACACCCACGGGAAGATATGGGGTAGTGGATATTCTATATATATATATATATGGGAGAAGACATAAAACACAACTTGTATGTATTATGAGTATCATAATTGGTACCTTCATTCCCCACTGCGTAAACATTATTAGCATATCGTCCATCAAGTTACAACTTGCGAAGTTTTCAAACGCCACCAATGTATGAAGTGGCACATTTTGACACAGCATCTCACACTGTGAGTGCCCCAACCATGCATCGTTCCAGATGTGCAGTATACACGCCGAGAACACTCTTCTCCCTGACGTCAAAGTTGAATTGGTCTGATGGAGAACCTATTATGCTTCAGACATGTGTTCCAGAGTTGGCAACGGTTCTAACGCGTCTTTTCCGGTACTCCTATTCTCTAGGTTAGTTTTCTCTAGGCTAGAAAAATTAAAAATTTTGGACAATAAATTTCAATATGAATTATTAAGAATAACTCAAAAAAACTAAAATAACTCAAAATAACTCGTGGACAGGAACGTGTTATGGCAAACACTGAACTCATTTGGGTTGAGCGCTGGCTTGATACAGGCATTAAGGTCTCTTTATAGGGACTCTAGTGCTTGTGTCAGGATCAACGGGGTCTACTCGGACTGGTTTGGCATTCATAAAGGTGTCAGACAGGGATGTGTGGCTTCCCCGTGGCTGTTTAACCTATTTATGGACAGTTGTTTGCAAACTTTGAAAGTTGAAGAATGTGGGTTGAGAATGGGTAAGTCAACCGTCAAATGCCTTTTGTACGCCGATGATCAAGTCATATTTGCATCGTCGGCGGCCGAGTTGCAAATGATGGTTACTTTAATGAATTGGTCATTGAAAGAAAGGGGTATGAAAGTGAACGCAAATAAGACGAAAGTGATGGTTTTTGAAAGAGAAGAAAGTAAAACTATGTGAAATAAGAATAGAAGGGGAGTTGATTGAGCAAGTGGATGAGTTTGTATATTTGGGATGTTTATTTAGCAGGGATGGTAGATATGATAAGGATATAGAACGACGAGCGAACGCAGGAAATAGAGTGAATGGGGCTCTACACGCTATTGTGAGGAGTCAGAATGTGTCAACTAAGGCACGTATGGCAATTCATAATGCTGTGTTAGTACCCACTTTAATGTATGGTAGTGAAAGTTGGGTCTGGCAGAAGAAGCATGAGAGTAGAATAAATGCTGTAGAAATGCGTTCCTTAAGGAGTATGCTAGGGCTGAATCTGAATGACAGGGTGAGAAATAGTGTAATAAGAGAAAAGTGTGGTTTGCAAGATGACGTTGTGACAAGGATTAAGAAAGGAATGCTTCGGTGGTTTGGTTACGTAGAAAGAATGAACGAGGAAAGAGTGACAAAGCAAATTTATGTTGCAGAAGTGAACGGCAGGGTCGGGAAGGGACGCCCTAGACG